AGAAGGCAGGGGACAGAGGTGGGAAGGTGGCTCCGGAGCTTCTCACTAGGCGGGCGGCCACCCAGGCCCCCAGTGGCGCCTCCTCCAGCTCAGGTCCCGGGGGAGCCCCCGGAGTTTCCCTTGGTGCCAGGGGATTGTTTTCAGCTCTGTCTGGGCCCGCCTCCGGCTCCAGGAGACAGGCCGGGCGTCGCACTCCCTCCTGTCTCCCCATTCTCTGCGGGGTGGGGGCGGCCAGGATTCGAAAAGGCCCCAAAATAAATGGGCGTCTTATCTGATCTCCCAGCCTGGCCCGTTATCTGATCATTACATAATAGCCGAGGGCTGACGGCATGGAGGGGCGGCCCAGGCGGCCCGCAGCCCGGCAATCTGGGAGGAACTGGGGTTCCTGGAAGTCTGGGGAGGGGGCAGGGAAAGTCCGAAGGGAAGGAGGAAGGCGCTGCGCTAATCTGCAGGCCAGACCCTGGGTCAGATGCGGAGAGAGGGTCCATGGCCCAGCCTGGGGGGGAGCCATGTGCACTTTTAACCTCTCCAGGCCTCAGTCTCCCCATCTGTACAGGAGGTGCTGGGACGCGGTAACAGCCAAGTGTGAGTTCACTGGTAGGAAAAGGGAGGGGGCAGCTTTGAGGGGCTTGGTGGGTCATAAAGGGGTGAGACAGGAGGTGGCGCCCGCTGCCGGGTCTACTGGGGTGAGGGAGTTGGCTGGCCTGAGACATCAGGCCGTCTCAGGGGTCCCTCACCCGCAGGTGGCCCCCCCCACAGGCAGTTCTCCAGTGACTGAAGTCGATCAAATAGGTGGGATAGAAAGAACTACCCGATGCCCTTCCTCACGGAGTCCTCCCTGCAGCCCCTGTGGACTTTGTGTGCTCTGCTCTTACTGTCCTTGCACAGACAAGGACACTGAAGCCCAAAGCGGGGAAATTGCTCACCAAAGCCACATAGCTAAGTGCTGGGTCTGAGATTCAAACCAAGGTCAGCTGGCTTCAGGGACCCTGCTTTTAACCAACATGCCATCTTACCAGGCACTCTGGAGCCCCTGGCACCCAGGACAGGTCCAGGGCAAGGACTCATAAGGCCTAGGTCTCCGTGGTGGCCAGGAGTCCTTGTCCTGAGCTTAATCTCCCCAAGATGTTGCTGGTAGATGTTGTCATGCGTCCCGGGTGGCCATGGGCCGTCCTTCTCTGACCTCTGGTGGTCCCGAGCCCCACAAGGCGGCGGAGAGGTGGGGAGAAGGCCGGGTGAGCCAGAGCCTGCCCGGTAGCGGGGTTCGGGAGGACCCCCTCCCTCCCCCACTGCTCTGAGCTGGCGTCGGCTGGACGTGTGACCAGTCCCTCCTCGCCAGCTTTGATCTCCAAGAAAACAGGAAGCGAGCGCGACAAGATGGAGACATAAACTTCCAAACAGCCTCCCCTCCTCTGTCTTCTTCCCTCCTCCAGAGTCCCCCCCCACATTCCTCAGGACGAGGTGCAGGGGCCTCATTTCCTCTTCCTCCTGCGCCGGGTCCGGGTGAAATTCCATTCCCGTCCCTGAGGACCCGCGTTTCCGGGCAGCCGGGGCAGGCTCTGCGGCTCCGATGCACGCGGCCCACGGTCCCAGCCGCCTCCGGCCCGGGGCACCCTCTTGGCTCACCCGGTCCCTTGGGCCCAGGAGAGTCTCGGCTCTCCTGGACCCATTCCCCTGGGGCTCCCTGAGGAGCCAGAGGGGAAGTTTTGCCTTCTGATCTCAGCCCTCGCCCTCCTCTGGAGGGACCCAGCCTGAAGGCTCTGGTGCGGGACCCTGTAGGCCCTGCCACACAATCAGGGGCGCCAGTCATAGCAAGTAAAATACACGAGACCCAGTTAAATTTGAATTTCAGGTAAACAATGAAAAAAAATTAGGATAAGTATGTCTCATGCAATATTCGGGATATATTTATACTTTTAAAATGATTCATTTTTTTACTTATTCAAATTTAACTGAATGTGCTGCATTTTATCTATCAACCTTATACCTAGTAGCGCTGTGACTTTGGGCAAGAGACTTTACCTTTCTGAGTCTCAGTTTCTTCATCTGTAGAATGGATATAAAGATATCCACCTTGCCCTGGCTGGTGTGGTTCAGTGGTTAGTGTCGGCCCTCGCATCAAAGGGTCCCGGGTCTGATTCCCGGTCAAGGGCACGTACCTTGGTTGCAGGTTTGATCCCTGGTCCTGGTCGAGGCACATTCGGGAGGCAACCAATCGATATGTCTCTCTCACATCGATGTTTCTCTCTCTCTCTCTCTCTCTCTCTCCTTTCCCCTCCATCCTTGCCTTCTATTCTCTCTCTAGAAAAAAAAAAGCAATGGAAAAAATATCCTCTGGTGAGGATTAAAAAAAAAAAAAAGAAAAGATATCCACCTTGTAGGGTAGCTGCAAAGATGCAATAAAGCCTTAGCCAGCGCCAAGCACCCAGCAGGCATTCAGAAAGTGGGAGTAATTGTCACACCTCATTCTTACCTGTCCCTCTCTCTGGCTGTGTTTCCCTAACAGGTCCTGCTGAAACAGCCCATTGTAAGCTACAGCCTGTGGACATCAAGGTGACATACAGCACAAGCCAGGTTTCTAAGGGCTGCGTGGCTCAGGTCCCCAGCGCTACCACCGAAGTTCACATCCTCTTCATGGAGTTCCCAAGGGTGAGTGCCGATGGCAGGCTCAGGCCGGGACTTAAAGGTAGGCCCGGGGCCGGTGGGATGACGGGAGTCTCCCTGTGGCTGTCCCTGGAGCAGTGGGTGGAGACCTTATCAGAGACCCTGCCAGGAGCATCTCACAGGGCCTATAGAGGATGGCATTTCTGGGGCCAGCATTGGGGCAATCCTCTGGATGTCACCACCTGACTCAGGTAGGAAGGGCTGGGTTTGGCCGGCAACCAAGTGGAGAAGAGCCAGGTGGGATGTGGAGTGGACCAAGTGAGCTGTTGTTCGTGTATCTCCAATGCTAGGGAGACTCTCAGCAGACACAGCCCCGTTCTAGGCAGCTTCGACCTTGAGAAAGTGCTTCCCTCAGTGAAGCCCAAGTCTTCCTCCCTGGAATGTCCTTCACTGAATATCTGTGACCTGGCGAGCAGCCACCTGGAGATCAAAAGCCAGCAATGCCGGTGTCAGAGACTATCCCCCACCCCAACCCGAGAACCCTCATGAGGTCCACCACTTGGTTTTTCTAAGTCCCTCTTAATAACACATGTACTAAGTGTTTACTATGAGTTAGGTACTGTGCTAGGCCTACTATGTACAGGAAGTGAGTTAAAAATCTTAACATAGCCCTGGCAGGTTTGCTCAGTGGTTAGAGCGTCAGCGCGCAGACCAAAGAGTCATGGGTTAGATTCCCGGCCAAGGGCACGTGCCTGGGTTGCAGGTTCAATCCCCCAGGAGGGGCGCGTGTGGGAGGCAACCGATCCATGTGTCTCTCTCACATCGATGTTTCTCTCTCTCTCCCTCCCTCCCTCTCTTCCACTCTCTCTAAAAATCATGGAAAAAATATCCTCAGGTGAGGGTTAACAACAACAAAATCTTAACATATATTAGGCCTCCCAAGAGCCCATCTGGCAGGGTCTGTTATTAACCCCACTTTTCAGAGGAAACTGAGGCAGGCCTCGAGTGAAACAACATGTCCAAGGCCAGAGTTCACACTAGATCCCCAGGGACACCAAGACAGGCTGTCTCCTGGCTCCCCAGAGGGTCTCAGTGTTCAGGCGTCGTCTGACCTGCCTGGGCCGGTGGCCACACCTGGCCAGTGTGGCCTCAGGTCCTGATAGCAATTTAATGGTGTCAACTCAGGGTAAACTTGTGGCCAACTTGCCCCCAAAACTGTTAAGTTGCCCTGCGTTTGTGCGGCGATAAGACAGTGCCCAGACCACCAATATCGGGGGGCCTGCCCCCCACCGCCCTGCCTGCCGTGAGGACTGTGGGCCTCGATAATCCCCAAACTGCAGATAGTGCCAGACACACGTTATGTGGTTTTCATAGCCATTGTAGTTTTTTTCAAGTTTGGTGATGATGTGGAAAGTGAGATTGCCCCCTGCAAGTTCGTTTTGTTAGTTCTGATGTTCAGGTCTCTGTGCCTCTACTGGGTGACTGGGATCCTCCCACCCTAATCACTCCACAGTGAGCCAGTGTCAGAGAAAGGCCCCCTGCCAAGCACCTAGGTCTATGGGAAGCAGATGTATGGATAGACAGCCAGGGTCCAGGTGATTGATGCCTCCTTGGTCAGCGCAGGGCAGGGGTACTCTGGCTGCCGTGGGATTAGGCAGGGCTTCCTGGAGGAAGCAACAACAGTAACATGGCCAGGAGCTCGCTGAGTGAAGACGTTGGAGGGCAAGAGCAGAGGACACAGTGAATGCACAGGAGGGAGGGGCCTTGGCTGTCTGAGGCAGAAGCTTATAGCTCACCTGGGGCAGGGCTGGGGAGATGGGAAAGGGCCTGTTGTCATATTAAGGAGTTAAGTCTTTGTTCTGTGGGCAGTGACAGTCTTTGGAGGGTTTTCAGGGAAATAGCAGGGCACCACTGTAACTCAGGTCACCCTAGCGCTCACAACAGCAGAATATCCCTGTCACTCTTGCCTCTTCCAGAGAACTCCATCTGTGGAGCATCTCGCTTTTGATTCAAGAAGCCAGGCTGCAGCTCCAGCACTGCCAGGCACGTTGGTTTGAGGGGGTGGAGGAGAGAGCTGGGATTCGAGAGACCGGGGCTCCAGTCTTGGATCTGACCCTGGCCAGTACCTCATACAGCACCTGGCATGTTGAGGGCTCCTTCTCCCTGCTCTCCAACAAACACACATTTCTTGTGCTCGGGGACTCATCAAAGAATTACGGGCTATCAGAATCTGGGGCGGGGCCGGGCATGTGCCGAATAACTGTTGAATGTCTGAGTGAATGAATGAATGCTAGAAGGAATGAATGCTTGAAGGAATGAAGGAATAAGTGCGCTGCTATGTGACCTTAATACAGGGGTTAAGAACATGGGCTCTGGAGCCAGATAGCCTTAGAATTGAACTTTGACTCCCCACTCACAGCAGCACGACCTTGGGCAGCCTCTCCAAGCCTTGGTTTTCCCACAGGAAATCTGGAGATGATAGTCCCCCCCCCAGGGGGCTGTGAGAATCCAATGGGTCAGTGCCGGCAAAATACTGCGTTCAGGTCTGCCCAGAGCCACTACTCCACATCCAGTAGCCATGCTTGTTGTTACTATAACGGCTCCTTTGGGCTCCATGTCTCACCTTCATTTTGCCGGGCACGCTACAGTTTACAAAATATCTTCACATCAGTGAATTAATTTGATCTCCAAAGGTTATTGCTATCAGGTAGTTGAGGCTGGGGTTGTGAATCCATTTTCAGAGGGAGCAACTGAGGTCCAGCCTGATGGAGCCCCCTCCGACCCCCTGGTGCTCCTGGCCTGCCTGTCCCGAAGGTCAAGCCCATGATTTCACCAGATCCCACTGCTGTGACATGGCAGGACCTGTGGTTTCCCCAGGCAGCACCTTCCTCCCCAGACAGTACCCAAGAAAGGCGTCCGTGGCTCCACGGTCCCCCTGGAACCAGTCCTGGTCAGGTGCCTGCTCTGTGCCCAGCCTGAATTGGGCACTGATGTTGCCGAGAGAAGGCAGACCCAGCCCCTGCCCTTGGACCACTCCCAGGCCAGGGGAAGCCAAGGTGGGCGGCAGCAGCCCCGGCACCGAGCGATGGAACTGGCGATGGGGTCCGAGGGTGGAGGAGGCTGTGGACCCCTGGAGGACAAGCACTGAGTGTGGCGGGCAGGGGGCTTTAAGGAAACAGTTCTCAGTGTCTAGCCAGGCAGAGAGGAAAGTCAAGGGCATTCCAGGCAGAGGGCGCCCCGTGAGCAAAGACCTAAAGGCAAGAAACACGAACTGGCCACTGTACTGTGGGTGGCGGCCATCTCAGCAGCCAGTCCAGTCCCTCCAGACCTACGTCTTGTTCTTCAAACCTTGGCACAGAGACACGCTTTCCCGTCCATCCCTGCGTGGCTCTGAATCCTCAGATTTCCTGTGCGTGGGCGGCAGATGCACTGTGGCAGCCAAGAGCCTCAGGGAAGAGCCGTTGGGGGTGGGGTGGGGGTGGTGTGTGGGTGTGTGTGTGTATTGGGGAGGTTTACAGACAGACAAGGGGGCCACTGGGCTGGGGATCTATCTCACTGGGTCCCCGAAGGGCAGGCCGGAGCCTGGATTCCGGGAGGGGGCCCAGGGTCACATCCTGACCCGCGGAGACAGGAAACCACCTTCGTGTCTCAGCGATTCCCGTCAGGCTGACTGTACTGATCTGCTGTCCTCCTAACAAACCCCAGGCAGCCAGACCAGAGCTGGGACAGCCACTGATTCACCCCACTTCTGGGCAAACTCGGGGAGCAGACCACACCCCCCACAAGCCCATGAAACCTGCTGGGCTCTTGTGTGACCTACTCCTGCCAGAGGGGCAGGCAAGGCTGCTCAGACATGGGGAGAGCAGGAGGGGCCCTGGATTCCCCCAGAATGTCCTGGGAAGCTGTGTAGGGCTGTGGAAGGCAGTGGTGCCTTCAGACCTGGGCAAAGGGGGATCTGCCCTGGTCCCACAATTAGTGGCCCTCTGCCAGCTGTGGGTACCCAAGACTCCAGAGATCCCTGCTCAAATGCACTGAGCCTATTCCCAAAGTGGCTTGGGGCTCTTTCTTGTCCCAGCCTCTAGAGGGGACACTGCAGGGCTAGTGTAAGCTCCCCTCAACCTGAAGGGTGTCAAGGTGACTATTTACAGGGAGTGGGGATGGCAGAGCTAGGGCATCCGAGCTGGGTTGTCCACATGCATATGTGTGAAGAGGAGGAGGTGGCCTGGGGGCCACAGACTGCCATTTCTACTCTTATCCCAGGCCTTGCAGATATCCAGGACTTGGTGGAAGGACATGGTTTGGGGGTCAGACAGGCTAGGCAGGAATTGCATCTGCGCTCACTGCTGTATCCCCAGTGTCTAGCTCAGGGTCAGTCTGGAAATAAATATTGGATGGATGGGTGGGTGGGTGGATGGATGCGTGGAAGGAAGGAAGGAAGGAAGGAAGGAAGGAAGGAAGGAAGGAAGGAAGGAAGGAAGGAAGGAAGGAAGGAAGGAAGGGGAAATATACATATATAGAAACGTTTGCTGGTTAGCCATTCCCAAGAGGTTAGTGGTGTCACTCATTGTCATTATTAGTTGTTTGGGGGTGTTAGTCTTGTTCTCTGCCAAGGTCTTGAAGGACAGAGTTGTGCCTTTTTCTGCTCCCCTTTGAGAGCACAGAAGCCTTAGCGGGGCCCAGTTGTGGCCCCTTGGAGGCAAATGAAGTGGAGGGATGGGGGGGCATGGGCTGGCCAGGGTCCCTTAGCTGTGGGAAGTAGCAGAACCCGGGGGTCCTGGAAGCCCACTCTTTTGGCCACTTGGCTGGCAATCACAACTCCCAGATGTCAAACACTGGAACCTCAGGAGGCAGGACGGAATCCAGGGGCTACACTACACTGATCCCAACTCCTTCCTTCACAGATGGGGAGACTGTGGCTCAGAGAGGGGATGCCAGAGTGAGGTGTGACAGCCATGTCCCAGTTCCAGTTACCTGCTGCCCACCTCTAACACTGACCTCCGCAGGTGGCAAACCATGGCATCTCTGGATGAGTGGGCAAGGAGGGAATCAGAGCTGGTGAAAGCTGTCTACTACTCAGTATTTAGCTGGGCACTGGACAGCCCCTTTTGCAGGCAGAATCTCACTGAATCCTCAAAAAACCTATGAAATGGGCATATTGTTCAGCCCATTTTCCAGATCAGGAACCTGAGGCTCAGAGATACACGACTGCCCAGGGTCACAGGCTAATGACTAAGGCCACATTTGAATTCAGGTCAGCCTGGCTTTGACCCCTTCTCCTGCCACCCTGCCTGTATGTACCATCTGAGTCTGCTGGGGTGGACAGAGTGACGTCTGGCTCCAATCTGGCCGGCTCCAGTCTGGCCCTAGGAGGGTGGGAGCTGCAGGCAGCCCTGAGGCTCCACTCCTAGAAGAATTGCTGGAAACAACTTTCTATAAGTGGCTACTAGTACTCAGGGCCTCCTCACCAAAATCCCCCCTTCCCGCCATGGACCGCTGGGCCAACAATGGCATCTGTGGGACACTGGCACAAAAATAGAAACACGGTCTCCCGCCCACCCATTCAGGGAGGAGGCTGGGGCAGACCAGGCTAGCCCAGGTTGCGGGGGCAAGGGTGGCTGGCCTGCCTGCCTCGGGCAGACTCTCAGAATTCCCAGGATGCCTTAGGAAGACTGGAGATTGGGGGTGGAGGGCAAGGCAGGCCCCTTTCTTTGCCTTTGGGCTTCAGGATGGGAGGGAAGAGGGGAGTCAGTGTGCGTGTGAGTGACCATGGCAATGAGTCAGGGCCACGGGCTGGAAATGTTTGCTCTGGAAACCGGGGCTGGGTTTTTCTCGTAACCAACAGGACTCAGCTAGGCCCAGGAGCTCAGAGACCCCAGAGAGTCCCACTTTCCGGACTCCCTGAGTGTCCACACACCCCTAGCCTCCAAATCTACAGGGAGGAACTTGGTGACAACTGAGTGGAGGGTTTGGTATGTGAGCTCAGGGAGAGGAGCTGAGTGTGATGACAAAGGTTCCACTCTCCTGGTCCCCTCATGCTCAGCATGACTCGACCCTGACCTCCACTTCTCTTTTTTGACTTCCTTTATCCAGAGCCCCACCTGGTATTGGTTCCTAACCCTGCCCTACCCCTCTTTCACAGATGGGGAGACTGAGGCACAGAGGAACAGGGACATTTGCAGAACAGCAGCAAAAATGGGTGTTCACGAGGTTTTTTCCTCCCAACTCAGGGGCTGCGCTCCCAGCTGCTCTCTCTGTCACCTGCTGCGCTCTCGGCCTATGGGTGTCCACCTAGGGGCAAGGGATGGATCTCCAAACCACAAACCACAGGGCCCATCTGTTTGCCAAGCGGGGTCTCAATGTTCACTCCTCTGGGCAAAGGCACACAGATGGGGCAGATTTGAGAGAGAGGACACTAGGCGAGCTGCCCAGAGGTCTCAGGGTTGTGGGTGCCACTCTGGCACCAGGCTGACTTGTACTGGGTGCCTGACTTTGCCACTCACCGGCAGTTCTCTGAGCCTCAGTTGCTGCGTCTGTAAAATGAATGAATACCTGACCCCGCTTCGGTGGGAGCACGTGCAACTGCTCAGCACAGGGCCAGGCACGGGCTAGGTTAAACCATGTGCAATTACTGCTGTTGTTGCGTATTCAGCAGCTGTATTGGGATAAAATTTGCCCATTTAAAATGTATAGTTAAGTGGTTTTTAATAAATATACAGAGTTGTGCGGTATACTTGATCGTTCGAGCTAACAGTACATACGTAGTCAAGGTAAGGAAGCTGGGGCGCGGCCATTGTCAAAGGTTCTGGCAGGTCGGCTGTGCCCTGGCCTTTCACGAAATGACCAAGGTGGGTTTCCCTTCACTTCTGTTCATTTCTAGTAGTGATCATAATCCTGGAACAAAATGTCACTTCTAATATTTAGACTTGTATTTCATATTTTACCAAAATGTGATATTAAATCCAGTATTTCATTTTCAAAGTGTTTAGAATGCATAATATTTTAAAAAATGGATGAAACAAGAGATTTCAAAAACCGAAAGTTATGAACCCATCAGACAACATTAATTAACAAAAATGTGAACTTATACAAACATAAACTTCAAATACTTATTCTACTATAAATTAGCATCAAAATAATTCTTCAAGAATAATCTACCTAAAGAGCTCACTAAAATAAAAAACAATTATTTATGAAACATTGAAAATGGAATATTATTTGCTCTTTTGTTTTAAAGAGCAAACTTACAAAGAGTGATTATGGTCTTATTACTGAGTAATGGAAATATTTCTGGGCAGATTTTTCCAGCAGCTGAAACACTGTCTGGCTCTGTGACATCAGCTGGGGAAATGGCCAGGAGATAATTAGAAGTTAAAGCAAAAACTTTCCACTGTTCTCTTCATCTTGAAATCTCTCTCTTGTCTTTGGTAAGTTTGAGAAGATGTGTGGAGCCAGGTTGTGTCTCTTTGTGGGGACCGTCAGCTTTCTAGAGCAGCTGGAGTTAGTGTTTGGTAAACACTCTCATTTTGCCTGGGTCAGAGAGTCTTCGAGCGGCGCAGATATTCTTTCATTAGAAGCTTCGCCTTTGTGGGTGGCTGTGCCCTTGTCTCTTCGTGGGAATAAGGCGGCGGAGAAAAAGGAGGCTGGGCAGCGGCAGGCTGAGAGGAGAGGCCTGCCCAGGCCACATCCTAAGCTCCACACTTACTCGCTGTGTGTTCATGGGCAAATGATTTCACCTCTCTGTGCCTTGTTTCCTCATCTGTAAGTGAGAATAATAATGGTACATACCTACCCTTAGGGTTGTTGTGAGGATTAAATGAGTCAGTAGATCAAGCACGTAGAACAATCCTGGCACATAGCAAGCACTATATGTTAGGCATTATTATTATTATTACTTGTTCTAGAAGCATTCTAAATACGTACACCGTGATCAATTAAAAATTTTAATGCAGTAGGTATCTCAAGATATAAATGATCTCAGCTTCACATTCTTTTTTTTTTTTTTTTTTTTAATATATATCTTTATTGATTTCAGAGAGAGGAAAGGAGAGGGAGAGAGAAAGAAACATCAATGATGAGTCATTGATCAGCCGCCTCCTGCACGTCCCTGAATGGGGATTGAGTGCAACCGGGCATGTGCCCTGACCAGGAATCGAACCCCGATCGCCTGGATCCTAGGTCAATGCTCAACTGCTGAGCCACACCCGGCCGGGCTCAGCTTCACATTCTTATAAAATATCGAAATAATTGTAGTATATTGATAAAAATATGGGCATCTGGGTACTTTAAAATAGTAAGGCCTACAGGAGCACTGCAAACTGGGGAGGAGTTGGGATCTCGATACTGCTGCACAGGGACAGAGGAAAGGCCCAGCGTGCCCTCTGAGTCACGCACACACTTGCAGGCCTGGTCCACCACAGGCGCTCAATAGAAATAACAAAACTTGATCAGCCGTTGGATAAAGTTCAGGCTCGTCAGATTTTTTTCTTTATGTCTTTGGATTTGCTGAGACTAATCTCCTTCATTCACGCAGCAAATCTTTTCTGAGCACCTCCTGAGGGCCAGGCACTCTGCTGGGCTCTGGGAGGCAGGGAGAGCAGAGTGAAATCCTATAGGACATGGGTCGTCACTACTGGTCTGGGTGACACAGTCTATGTATGCAAGCCTGATTGGTCTGTGTGTGTGTCTTTCTCTTGTCTCTTCACTCCCACCCCACTCCAGGATGTGTCCCAGCTGGAGCTGACTGTCCAGATGTCCAAGCAAAATGACACCAGGCCTCGACAGGTGCTCCTGGTCCTCGGCCTAGACAAGATAGTCCACCTGCAACTGCAGGCCCCAGGAGTCCCACTCCAGCTGGCCTACGTGAGTTACCCCCAACCCCAAGCTGAGGCAACCCCATGGGAGGGCCATGCCTGGTGAATCCTGTGGGGGCCTGACAGAGAGAACCCAAAAGGCAGCAGGGTCTGGGGCAAAGAATTCAAACCCGGAGACGGGATTCAGGTGGATGGACAACCCTGGCCAGCTCCATCATCTCATCTCACATAGCCTCAGTTTTCCCACCTCTTACGTGGGAGAATTGGACTCAATGACATCCCATAAAATAATCTTGTGACTATCTTTGAAAAAATTCCAAGACACGTATTTGAAAAAATTTAAGTACAGAAAAAAAGGATCAGGAGGAAACCGAACGAGGTATTAACAGTAGTTATGGCTGGAAAGTGGGATTAGGAGAGACATTTACTTTGTTTTTTGCACTCCATTGAATTTGAAAGACTTGCTCTAATTAACCTGGCCGATGTGGAGAAAAACTCGTTTTAAAGAGAGGAAGTAACTGGTGGGGACTCACAGCGAGGGGGCTCAGGGTGCCTCCTCCACATGGGAGGCTCTAGAAGGTGACCCAGCTGTGAGCAGCTGTTGTTTATGGCCAGAGAAAGCAGGGTGGGGGTGGAGGGATGGAGAACAGCAAAGATAACAAAGGGGAGAAAGACACAGAAAGAAAAATGGAAATGGAGAAAGGAGGGCCTGTGTGGGAGGGACAGGCAGACACTGAGAGACCAGAGGCAGAGTTGGGGGCGGAGAGCTGGAGGCCCAAACACAGAACTGGATCCAGGCTGACTGGGAGACAGGCCCAGAAACAGAGGGAAGTTGGGGGGCTGGGAGTGAAGAATCCAGACTGGCAGCAGGGACACCACAGAGACAGACAGAGATGGCCAGCATGAAACACCCAGGAGGGCAGGAGCACCGGTAGCCAACCAGGAGGGTGGAGCTGGACCAACCCCATTTGGTATATCCTTCTGCTCCCAGTGGGGGAAGTCGAGGCCCCAGGGAAGGCCAGGCCTTGCCACCGCCCCTCCTCCTTTCCCACCCCAGGCTCTCCGGGGGTTTGAGCCCAGCAGGAACCCTAGGTGTCCCAGGGAACACAAAACACGCCCTCTGGTAGGAAGGTCCGAACATCACAGCAGCAAAAGGCTATGGCCTTGGCCATGCCGTCTCCTGCCTTCCTCCTGGGACCAGGAATGCCCAGGTCGGGGGGGGGGTACCACCAGAGCCTCTTTCAGCCTGGGCCTGCAGCTTCCTGGATGCCACTGGAGGGGCCACAGCCCAGCTGGGGCGTCGGGCCTGGGCCAGACCCAGTGCCAAGCAAGTGGCAAATACCTTGACTTTTAATCCCTGTTACATCCCCATATTACAACCCATGACTCAGAGGGTCAAACTGGGTAAAGTCTGACCTACCTCCTCCAGCTCTAAACCACTGCCCCAGCCCTTCCATCATGGGGGTGCTTTCTCGCCCAGGGGCTCTGCACTTTGCCCCCTTGTTAAAGTCCTGTTCCATTCGAGTGGACCGTTCTGTGGCGTCCTGCCTACTTCCACTGTCAGGCGGACCCCTTAGTATCTAACATTTATGGTTCTTCAGCACCATGTTCCTGGCTTTGGGGATGGAATGCAATGGAACTGAGTCCAAGGCTCCGATAGCTTCTTCTAAATCTTCTGGCTTCAATAGAGTGCCTCCACCAGGAAGCCTTCCCTGTTTCCTTCCCCTCAGCCCACTAGGGTCTCTCCTGAGGCATGGGCAGTGGGGGGCAGTGAGGTGCTGGAGCCACTCAAATTCCCATCCCTGTCCACCCAGAGGACCTATCCTGCTTGCTCCTTTTATTATTATTATTATTATTATTATTATTAAATAATATCTTCTGTCTTCTGTTATTTCAAATGACTTGAAACATGGCTAGTTTCTGAATGGTAAGACTCCCCAGGGGAGGGGCCATCTCTCTGTCATTCATTCATTTCTTCATCCATTTATTCCTTCCTCCCTTCCTCCCTTCCCATGTGCCAGGCATTAGGGTGGAGCTGACATGCCCCGGTCCTGAGTGCTGGGCCTAGGAGCGGTGCAAAGTCACACAAATATTCCTCAGTGCCTACCATGTGTTGAGCACCACGAGGGGATGGGCAAGGCAGACATTGTCCCTCACAGACCCTTAGAGTGTGGGGGAAACAGAGAGTAGCCACCTGATGCCGTAAGTGTGGGTTGCATGAGTACAATTATAGAGGGGTGGGGGTGATTTTGGACAGGTGAATGAACATGGATGTGTATCCATCCAGCCTCCCAGCTGTGGAAGGAAGATAGGGCAGAGCTGGCTTGGCGGGGGGTAGTTAGGGGGCTCTGGACTGACTTCAGATCCACTAGCCTCAACATTCTCAGCCCTGGCTGCCTTGGCTCAGGCCCAGGAACAGCACCCTGAGCCTCCGTGTGTCTCCCCAGAACCCCAACTATGTCGCCCAAAAGCCCCAAGGAGTCGACACCATAGATCTGTCAGCCTTCACCAAGAGCCAGTTCCTCAACTGGGCAGATAAAAAGGGTGCCATCGCCTCCGTCGCTGAGCTGAACGACCCCCAGCACATTCTCCTTCGTCTGGACCAAGGTCAGCTTCTCCAGCAGCCACTCTGGGCTCAAGACTGGAGGAATATGAATTCCTCTGGCCAATGTGGACACTAAGCCTCCCAGAAGGGACATGATTTGCCCCAGGTGACAAATAGCAAGTCAGTGCTTTATTAGGACAGTAATTACCTCTTCACCAAATATTCGTTTGAACCATGTGAAATTGTTACTTGTCAGTTTTTCGACCCAGAAAAACAGCACGTTCATATTATTTATTGTGCACCTACTATGTGCCAAGCCCTGTGTTAGGCATTTGAGGACTGTGGGAACAGACCCAGACCCTGCTCTCCTGGAGCTGACACTGTGGTGGGGAAATGACAATAAACAGATACACAGATAAATATAGGACATAATTCAGGCCTCAGTAAATGCTATAAGAAATACAAACGGGGTGAGGTGCTGGTGGTTGCAGGGCTTCATCCCTAGCATGTGTTATGGTTCAGACCTTATATGAGCCCTGTGCTGACCATAAGGAAACAGAAGCAGGGGACTTGCCATGAGTCACTGAGCAGTAAGTGGTGGAGGGAAGATTTGAACCCAGGTCCTCCCATGCCCCCTACTTCTTGGCTGTTCCATCCTGCCTGCCCCAACTTTACAGTGGATAAGGGCGGGCCTCTGTGTTAGATGCTAGGCTGCTCAGGGAAGGGACTGAGATGCACTTATCTCCACAGCCCTGGGGTCACCGTCCTCCTGCAATCCTGAACCCCATATGGACATGGGCCAAACACTCGAATGGTGGCCGCACACGGAGAACTCAGTCTCCGGCTGCCACTTGGAAGGTGTGGCTGGTCACAAGGAGGCTCACATCCTGAGGGTCCTGCCAGGCTCTGAGGCCAGGTAAGGGTGCCCGCCCACATCCCAGGCCCTGCCCCTTGGGCACCCCTATTAAGCCCCTCCCCAATGAGCCCAAGCCTCGCCCATTTCCACGTATTCTGCACACCCACTGGCCTCCAGGTAAAAGCGCCGGCTGCTCTCTGACTTCAGGACTTCAGGCCTTGCTCGGGCCTAGCCAGTCTGGGTCAGGACCCACCCAACCCCGCCTTCCCGCCCGGCGCTGACCCCGTGGTGTCTCCCCGCAGATCCAGGACAGTGACTGTGAAGGTGAATCTGAGCTGCAGGTCGAGGGATCCCAATGCTGTGCTCATCCTGCAGGGTCCACCCTACGTGTCCTGGGTCATCGATACCAACCACACCATGCAGGTCTCGGTGAGTCTTGCTCTGTGACCCAGACAGCCCCACGCAGGCCTTCCCAAGGCGCCTGGAAGAGAGAACCCAGATGCCCTGCACCAGCACCCCAGCCCTGAGCCTTCACACTGGATAATGATACTTCTGGCCCCACCCTGTTCCTCTGTTCACTACCTATTCTTCCTTCAGACCTAAATGCCACCTCCTCCAGGAAGCTTTCCATCATCCCTTTGGGAGGCCCTTAACCCAACCCACAGGGTCATGGAACGTTCCTAGAGAAGCGAACCCCATGCTGAATTGAAGGGCACACAGGAGCCAGTAGATGAAGGGAGGTGGCCCAGGCAGAGGAAACAGCAGGCGCAAAGGAGAGAGCAGCACTGAGGCCTAGCAGAACCCTGGCTGGGCTGAACTCGGCACACCGGCCAGGCTGTGCCCCTGCGCTGACTGTGGCTCCCTGCTCTGCCTCTTTCCCTGCCATTAGGCCACTGGTAAATACACCTTCAAGATCTTTGCAATGAACTTTGTGGATGGTGTCGTGCTCCCGGATACACCCGAAGGCCTGCTGGGATGGGCTCGGAGGCTCAACGCCAGTGTGGTGGCGTCCTTTGTGGAGCTCCCTCTGGCCAATGTCATCTCTCTTCAGGCCAGCAGCTGTGGTGAGCACCCTGCTCCCTTCCCTTGCCCTCCTGCCTTCCTTCGCCCTCTCCTTGGATGAGTTGCCGCAGTTTGGTGTACACCACTGCACAGCTGTGTGGGTCTGGCAGGTTGCATCAGCCTGTGAGAGCTCCACTTTCCTCCTGTGCAACATGGGGACAGTGAGAGTGGCTAGCTATAGCCATGCTTAGTGCACAGCAAGCCCTGTGACTGTCCACCTGGCTTGCCTCTGCCACCCCGCAGAAGGTGGGCTGCAGACCTCACCCACACCTGTCCAGACCACCCCTCCCAAGGAGATGTGCGGTGAGATGCTTCTCATGACCCTGTTCCAGCAGAACTGCTCCGATGACACCATGACCCTGGAACTCAAGAAAGATCTCATCTCGGTAAGGGAATCCCTGCTCCTCCCGCCTGGGGCCCTAACCCTGGCAGGAGAACAAATCACATCCCTCTATGAGCTTCGGTTTTCCCACTTGTAAAATGGGGTTGCAAATGGTACTACCATGTGGTGAGAATGAAATGAGGCCTGGCACGCCGAGCCAAATGTGGTGCTCAGTCCGTGCTCAAATAGCTACTAGGTAGTTTTCCATATCAATCCTAAATGCGGGCTGAGCTGCGTGCTCACTTAGGCTTCCTCCATGACACGATCTCTGACTGATTGGAGAACAAGGGTATTTATTATAAAAATAGCACAGGCTTTTTTAAAATGTGGAAAAATTAGAAAAGAAAATCTCAATCTCTCCCCGCAAAGACAATGGCTACCAACCTTTTGGTTTGTTTCTTTCTAGAATGTATTCTCTGTGTATTTCTTATATGGTGGAATCATATTGGATGCACTAATTTGTCTCTAGCTATATTCACGTAATGTATTTTTAGAATGTTGACACATGTATTTAATGTCATGTTTAATGAGCACATATTATTCTGTCTTATTGACAGGCCATGATTAACCCTCCTCCCTTGTTAGACATTTAGCTTGTTTCCAATTCTGTAATATTATAAAAATGCAGAAGATGTCACTGTGTATTAAACTTTTTAAAATATGGGATTATTTTCTTAGGATAGATTTCCACGTTTGTGAGATCGCTGGGTCAAAATGAGTGAACTTTCTGGAAGTTTTGATACATGTTGACAACCCAGTTTCCAAAAGATGATTCCAATTTTTACCACTGATTTATGAGAGCACTGTGACTCTCTCTCCACTATTATTTTTGTTAAAAAAAACAAACCCACCTTTGCCAATGTGGGAGGTGTAATGTGACTTTCCATTCTTGTTTTAACTTGTACTTCTTTGCTTACTAGTGAGTGTGGGCCTGGCTCTTTAACACTGTGTTTTGTTTTTTTCTTGATGATTTTATAAGCTTTTTACGTAAAGAAAAAAATTGGGGCTCTTTGTCCTTCATTCTTTTTTAAAAAAAACGTATCTTTATTGATTTCAGAGAGAGGAAAGGTGAGGGAGAGGGAGAGACAGAAACGTCAATGATGAGAGAGGCATTGATCAGCTGCCTCCTGCACACCCCCTGTTGGGGATCGAGGCCGCAACCCGGGCATGTGGCCTGACCGGGAATCGAACCCCGATCTCCTGGATCCTGGGTCGATGCTCAACCGCTGAGCCACGCCTGGGTGGGCTGTCCTTCATTCTTATCTAAATAATTTCTTCCAGTTTGTTATAGTTCTTTAGGTTTTTGCTACAGTGCTTTGTAACTTTTGGATATTTGAAAACAGTGGGCCATTCTAGCTGCCCATCTTCCCCTTTGTGATGTCTTCTGGCCTTTCTGAGGCAAGAAACCTTGGTGCTAGAGCCTTGGCAAGCCACCCATGCCCTCAGGGATTTTTAGGACATTTAGTCTGTGCTTAAGTCCACGTGGGAGTGTTTTGGGGGGTGGGGTATAGGGGCCTATATGAGACTCCATCTGCCCATCTCCCCCTCCTCCCCTGCCTGCTCCTGGTCCAGCAGAGGTCTGGGAGGTGGAGGGGTGGGGGGTTGACCATCAACAGTTAGCATTACTGTTACCCAGCCCCAAGGGGCCTGGATCAGTACATTGTCACCCATCCATCCATATTGGGAGCATTATACTGCACTAAAAGAATGTGCTAGAATGTACACACGGAAAGATGTATATGATTTATTGTTCAGTAAGAAAACTTAGCTACAGCATGGACAGTACAATACCATTTGTTAAAAACACAAAAATAAAAATAAAAATCCACACATTTCCTCTGAGTACATATGTCTGTATAGAAGAAAACACGAAGAAAAGGGTCTGCACAGATTCACCCCCAAGCACAGGGCATGCAGCCTCTCATTGCTTAATGGAAAGCAGTCAGCGTGCATGCGGATTTTAAATTCCAGGCCCGCCGTCACTGGGGCTTCACCCAGTGTAGAGCCCTTTTTATTTGGTGGCCCTGGGCAGCTGGGGACAGCAGCAGTCAGGGACAGCATTCTGGGAGTGGATGTGAGTTAGCTGAACTCAAGTGGGACCTCCAACAGCCCACTCTCAGCTAAGACTCTGAGATCCTTTGATCCTAAGAGTGGGACAGAAATTCTAAGATTTGATTTTTCTAAGGCAGAGGATGGCAAACTAGGGCCCACTGCCTGTTTCTGTAACTAAGGTTTTCTTGGCACACAGCCACACCCGCATGTGCATATGGTCTATGGCTGCTTTGGCTATGAAGGCAAAGGTGGGTAATTACAACAGAGACCGCACGGTCTGCGAAGCCTAACACAGCATTTACTATCTGGCCCTTAAAGGCAGCTTGCTGACCACAGGCCCAGGAGCCCATGGTTCCAAGATTGGATTCTGCTGGTGGGGTCTGCATGCCCCTGGGGCTGTGAGTGATGATTGTATGTGGAACTCAAAATGAACTTTCCATTTTTAATAGTTCTGCAGTTATTTTAATATCTATTAGAAGAAAAACAATAAGTAGTAAATCAAACTTATGATGTCACACATTTTATTGCTTAAGACAAGGTCAAGTATGAAAGCAACTCAAGTTCAGGAAAAGTATTGTCTTAAATGGTGTAAGATGATAAAATCTAACAGAAATGGAGAGGAGAGCAGAAGGATGGCTGTGACCCCTGGTTATGATCAGTCCTTGGTGCTGGGTGGTGATGGACGGACCCCAGGGAGCCTGGTGCCTCCTGACGGTGTCCCTAACCCTGGTCTAGTCTTTGAAGTGCACCATCAAGAGCCTGACCTTCTTGGACCCCAGCTGCCAGGCTGAGGACAGAGGCGACCAATTTGTCTTACACAGCACCTACTCCAACTGTGGCATGAAAGTGACAGAAAATGTGGTCAATAATGAGGTAAGAGCTGGGGCAGGAAAGGAAACAGCCTAGTTGGTGCCCCCCTCAGGTGCCTCCTTGATCTTCCAGGCTGAGAGGCTTTGGGGAGAGTGGGGTGTGGGGCTCAGTAGGGTAGCCATGGTTGGCTCTGTCTCCCCATCTATAAAAAGGGTATATTGGGTGGGATATCATCTGGGGTCATTTCTGGTTCTGACTAGCTCCTTGGCTCTGTTCCTGCAGGTGGTCGTCAACTTCATGTCAAGCTCTTCACCGCAGCGGGTGAGATGTGTGGTCATCGTGCTAACACACTTGGTCCGGGGTCCTGGGGTTCCTTCCAGGCCTGGGAGGGAGCAGGCCCTGATCCTGGCATGTCCCGTGTTTTCAGAGTGGCTCAGCCTCCCCTTCTGTACAGTGGGAGCAGGACTGTTGAGGGTTATGTTCTCAGCCTCTGAAGTCAGCTGTTTCTAGCATACATTGGTTGTGTGGCCTTGGGCAAAACACTTAGCTTTCTGGGCCCCAAGGTCATGTCTGTGAGCAGTGGCATAAGAAGGGATCCCCCGTGGGATCCTTATGAGCAGTCAGATGACACAGAGAAAGCACTTCACACAGGCCTGGTGCAGAGCGAGGTTATGTTTTGTTTTTTTAATTCTCGCCAGAGGATATTTTTTCCATTGATTCTTCGAGAGTGGAAGGGGGTCGAGGAGAGAGAGAGAAGCATAGATGCCAGAGAGACACACTGATCAGTTGCCTCCCACAACTGCCCTGACCGGGCCCAGGGATCAGATCTGCAACCCGGGTATGTGCCCTTGGCGGAGAATTGACCCCGCAACCCTTCGATATGCAGCTGACGCTCCATCCACTGAGCCACACCAGCCAGGACCAGATTCTTGATAAATATTAGTGAGTTTTTGATAACTATTAGTTTGGTGGGGTTTGTTTTTAAAGATGAGGATGAGTGTCAGGCAGCTCCTCGGGACCATGACCCCTGCTCCCATCCCCACCGCTCCCCTTCCTGGCCGGGTGCCCCCCAGACTGATCAATCTCCCTGCCTCCCGCAGAAAAAGGTGCAGTGCATCGACATGAAGAGCCTCTCCTTCCAGCTGGGCCTCTACCTCACCCCGCAGTTCCTCCAGGCCACCAATGCCATTGAGCTGGGGCAGCAGGGCTTTGTGCAGGTATCGGACTTGACCTCCCAGGACTGCCAACTCCTGGGGTTCCTCAGAACCCTCCTTCCCACCATTAGAACAGAGAAGATGAGAATTTAACTTTCCAGAGGAAGGAGGTAGCCAGCACGGTGCATGATGCAGAGGAGAAAGAGAAAAGGCAGAGCTCAGAGACTCTGATCAGAATGCCACCTCCTCCTCCAGGCAAGCCCATGACTGTCCCACCCTCGGGGCTCAAGGGCAGGAACTCTAGGATAAATCTAGCTTATTTCACGAGAGCAGGCAGGTTGAAGGGTTGAGAGTAACTGCTCATGCCTTGTTCCCCTTGACTACCTGTGCAGGTGAGCATGTCCCCAGTGATACGTGAGTTCATTCTCAGACTTGACAGCTGCCACCTGGATTTGAGGCCCGAGGGAGACGTCGTGGAACTCATCCAGAGCCAGGCAGCCAAGGGCAGCTGTGTGAGCCTGCTGTCCCCGAGCCCTCATGGTGATATGCGCTTTAGTTTCCTCCTCCGTGGCTACATGGTGCCCACACCCAAGACTGGCACCCTTAGCTGCACTGTAGCCCTGCGCCTCGAGACCTCAGCCCTGGTGAGTGGAGCCTGCGCCAGGCCCAGTGTCAAGGGTGGCGTTCAGGTGTGGGGGTTTCAGGAAGGGACACGACAGCCCTGGAGGATGGGAGACCAGCTGGGGAGGGGCAGAGCCAGTCAGGTGCATGGCTTCTGGCTACCAGAGGTACTCTTCTGCCACCCTGCAGCCTCTGATGACTTTGCTGTGTCTTGGACATTGGTAGGATATATAGCTGCAACCATCCATCTGTCCGTCCATCCATCCACCATCCCACCCAGTCATTCATCCATAGCCCTTCCACCATCCCAGTCATCCACCCCCCCACCCATGAGGTCTGATCAACAGTGTAATCTCAGTGAACAGGAGACCTCAGAGAAAGGGGTTCAGACAGAGGAGACAGCTTTCTGGTTTTCTGCACTTACTCGTCACAGTGCTTCACTATCCAGTGGGTCTCTATCTCAGGCACTCAGCCCTGGACACACAGTCATCTCCAGCCCCTTGCACACAGAAGGATCTCTCTGGTTGTATGAACCTAGAGAAGCCTCTGGGGTCACTCCTGGGGGGG